AATAAAAAAACAAAACACAACCTCTCCAATGTTCAAATATAACTTTCCCAGTTACTGTATATTTGTGGCTTCCATATCTGGTTGGCAGCCTGTGTATTTATTTTCACTTTCCTCTGTTTATCTTTACTTTTTAGCATTTTATATTTTGATAAAAAATGGCATCGTGCAAGATGGGTTGCACAATAAACTGCAACCCCAAAAGGAATACAAAAACATCATATATTTAAATTATCTTTATAGCAGTTAATAAAATGTAGCACGCTATTTGGAATGGTGTTTCCTTCAAAGTCAACTTATGCGAGCAAACCCGCGAAAACGATTTACTTATCTGTAATCACTATAATGGATGGAGTGTTACTCCACAGTGCTTGAAGGAGATGTACCTCATCAGTATAGCGCTCATCCTCCAGAATGCTGGATCCTCTTTTATTTATATATTATTAACTGAAGTGTTGCCAGTTGTTACACTGATTTCATCTGACTTTAAAACTAGAAGTCCCTGCCATGGAATAATGCAGTTATCTCTCACTTGGGCTCAACAAGCCCATTGCACAGTATTCTTCTACACAAGAGCTAAAGACATACATCGTATGTCTCCAACAGTTTAAAGGGTCAGTCCATTAGTTGCTCACTGGGTTCTTAAAGGTGAACTCTAAGCATGTGTTAAAACTAGGGATGCACCGATACCACTTTTTTAAGACCGAGTATGAGTACCGATACTTTTGATCAAGTACTCGCAGATACCAATTACCGATACTTTTTCTTAAAGGGACAGGTCACATGTTTTCTAAACCAATACAAACTAATGCTTTAAGGTCACTTTCGTAATATTATGATTAATGAGATGACGAGGTAGCATGACGCCGGCTTCCCGGCCAATCAGAATGCCGGGCGCTGCGTCATTACACGGCGCCCGGCTTCCGGATTTGATAGATTCCTGACCAATCGGGAAGCCGGGCAGCGCGTCATTGCATGCTACCCGGCTTCCTGATTGGCCAGGAAGTCGGCTCCATGCTCTCCTGGCCAATCAGGAAACCGGGCAGCGTGTAATGATGTGCTGCCCGGCTTCCTGAGACAGGAAGTACTCGTGCTAGGTATCGGAGCATTTGGGCGAGTACGAGTACTCACCCAAGTACTCGGTATCGCCACCGATACCGATACTAGTATCGGTATCAGTGCATCCCTAGTTAAAACTACAATTGTAATCCTAAGTACCTTCTTTTTTCTTGATTGAAAATAGTCTGCCTTGGTTCTTCGCCGTCAATCTTTTAAGACAGGGGTGGGCAAACTGCGTCTCAGCTAAAAATCCCAAAAGCCATTGCAAGACTCTGACTGCCACATTCATGACTTCCAGAGGCAGATGCATGATGGGATTTGTAATTGCACCACAGCTGGAGGTCCTGGAGTTTGCCTACCCCTATTTTAAGAAATGCTGCTGTAGGGAAGTGTAGAAATGGCAGTCGCAATGTAACAAGTGGCTTACAAATTACAATACATAACAACAGCACCCAGCAGACCTAAGGGCTGTCGCCCGCCCCCCCCCAACCAGAAACCAGCTGTACTGGCTGCACCAGCGGTAGGTCTGCCCCTGGATTTCTATATACACAGTGGGGAGTATAGCACACAATGATCTCTATATAAACAAATCTCTATATACACAGTGGGAAGTACACTGAGTGGCCAGATTATTATGACCACCTGACGTTTGTAGGCAAATTAGCTACAATTAGCTATAATTTCGCGCTGAAGTTGCTAGAGGGCCAGACCATTATAAATAGGGAAGCAGGTTGTTTACCACGACAGTAGAAGTGATTTGTTTCTAAAGATATGGGTAAACAACGCGATTTAACAGCCTTTGAACGTGGGATGATTGTTTGCGAGTATCAGCAAAACAGCAGAATTCGTTAAATGTTCAAGAGCAGCTGTTGTTAAAGTGTTTAAAGACTGGACTGGCAGCCGAAAATCTGGGTCTGAACGTGCGAATTGTGGCCGTCAGCGACTAGTCAATGTTAGGGCAGAACGGACAGTGGCAAGACTGGTACAAGACAACAGAAGGGCAACAGTGCAGTGTCAGATTCCTCGCATCACCTTTCAACATCTCGTGGAGTCACAAGGCGGCCCAACGAAGTCATCTCGTGGAGTCATCTCGTGGCCCAACTAAGTACTGATGGGGTGGTCATAATAATCTGGCCACTCAGTGTATAGCACACGGTGATCTCTATATCCACGAATCTCTATATCCACAGTGGGGAGTATAGCACACAGTGATCTCTATACACACAATGGGGAGTATAGCACACAGTGATCTCTATACACACAATGGGGAGTATAGCACACAGTGATCTCTATATACACAGTGGGGAGTATAGCACACAGTGATCTCTATACACACAATGGGGAGCATAGCACACCGTGATCTCTATATACACAGTGGGGAGTATAGCACACAGTGATCTCTATACACACAATGGGGAGTATAGCACACAGTGATCTCTATACACACAATGGGGAGTATAGCACACAGTGATCTCTATATACACAGTGGGGAGTATAGCACACAATGATCTTGATATACGCAGTGGGGAGATAGCACACAGTGATCTCTAAAAAAAAGGCTGGGTTAGACCATAGGGAGAAAGGGAATCATCAATGGGCTAAAACTTATGTTGATATCTGAAAGTTGACAACACAGGTAAAATACATTCTTTTCCAGTAATGCTGGGCCTGCACCATTGCACTCATTACATTTTTTATTGAGCCCGAAGTTCAGCTTTAAATCTTTCTGAGACATTGGAGACCAGATTTCCCAGCTACACCACAAAATCTTGCTCCTTCTCTATAATAAAAAAAGTAATATAGGTTGAAAAAAAAGTGTCTGTAGAGGCACAGAAAATAAAAAAAGATAAACAAAATTATTGCTTTTCATTGTGTTGCACGCCAAATTTTTCTCCAGTTAAATCTTGAAATGAAAAGTTGCATGCTGCAGCGAAGAAAAAAAGTAAAAACAATAAGGATTGAAATGTTGCAAAAAAAAAGAAATACATTTTAGCAACCCTTTCACCAAACTAGAAGATGTGCCTGTAAGGCCTCATTCACACTGCTAAGAGCCGGCCCGTATAGATCTGTGCAGCGTGCGTATCGGGCCGCTCCCGGGAAGGACAGGTGCTGTGTGTGATTGTACGCAGCAGCCTGTTCTTCCCTATGGGAGTCCATACGTTCACCCGAGCTGCACATCCGCGCGGGTGCCCGTGTCTGTACTCGTACGTAGACCGGATGGACCCTGTCTGCGTCCAAGCACAGACACCCACATTCGCACGCATGTGCAGTTCGGGTGAGCATGAGGTGGCGTAGGCCGCATACTCCCATAGAGAAGAACAGGCTGCTGCGTACAAATCACATGCAGCACCTGTCCTTCCCCGGGAGTGACCCGATATACGGCCGTGCACGCCGCACGGATCTACATTGGCCGGCTCTTAGCAGTGTGAATGAGGCCTAAAGCAGAAAGTTCATACTGACCTCTCCGGCTGCCCTTGTTCCATTGCATCTACAAAGTCCATGGTAACGCAAACAGCCATATAAAGGGTATACAACTTTTCTGAAAAGGAACAAACATTGTTTTTGACTTTTGAATGTGTATTTCCACTTTTGCAGTCAAATTTGATAAACCCCACTATAGGTTTGTTATTGTTATACAATGGAAGAAGTCAAGCTTCTCAATCTTTAACCCTTTGTTAGGACAGATAGTGTTCAGATCTAGTTTACAAATGACAGTGAGATCTGCAATGTCCGGCACAGACAGGGTTAATTACGGTAAACATTAACTCCCTAGCCCCTCATTAACATTACATATCCGGAAAAAAAAGAACACCGGGCAAAACTTTCATTAACCCTTGCAGTGCAAGGATTAACTGCTCGTTTTTGTCTAGGTTCTTAAAAATAAGTTATACTCACCCGATCCTAGAAGCCGGCTTGCTCTTAGACCAGTCCTTCCAGCCTCTCTCCTCTTCTGCTCCAGACTTGAGTAAGCTGAGGAACATTCCAATGCTTCAGCGCAGGCTTCAGAGACCTTTCAAGCAGGCAGTTGGCTCAGCAGTTTCGGTGAGTATAACTTTTTTCTTTTTAGCACCTATACAAAAATAAGCCATTAACCCTTGCAGTTTAGGGGTAGGACCACTACAAGGGTTAAAGGAGAACTATAGGGTCAGTGTTTTTCCCCATAGTTCTCCTTAGGGTAATGGGAGGACACAAACTAGCGTCCTCCCGTTACCCTAAGCTCAGTATACCGCGAGCTACAGCTCGCGGTATACTGAGACGCCGGAGCAGATCCTGACTTAGACGACGGGATCCGCCCAGCTGCGTGAGTGACAGCTGGCTCTGCCTATCTAGAGGCAGAGCCAGCTGTACCCGCCCCCTCCCCCGTCCGTTCCGCCAGTCAGCGCTGGCAGATCGGAGCGGGGAGAGGGGAACCCGGTATGTGTTCGCTCACCTCCCGATCTACTGAGCCGACCTGTGACAGTCTCATTGTCACAGGTCGGCTAGAACTATGAGGTGAGTGAAAAGCACTCACCTCATAGTTCTCCTTTAATAACAATTTTGCCTGGAGTTCTTTCTTTCAGTTTTGGATCCTTTAGAAAAGACTAAGTAGACTGTAATCAGTAATTTTTAAATATTTGTTTTAAGTTATGCTATGTAAATGGGAACATGTAACAAACCTAAAATAGGTGTTATCCCAATTTGGCTGCATAAGTGGAAATACTCTTCAGGGAAACCTATTATGAGAAAGCAGGATAATGAGCTAGATGTCTGGTTGTCATTCTGATGTTTTTGCATCAGTTTTAGAACAGTTTATGACTGTTCACTTTTTACAGACTCGGCAATTGAAAGTGAATGTCTAGGATTATTAATAATAATAATAATAATGATAATTAAAATCACCATACATAAAACAGTGTTGATGTGTTAAGTGACTGTGTTTTTGTTGTTTTGTTTTCTTCTATCAGAAAGTAACCAACTTACTAGACTCTACCGAAAAGAAGAAACCATTCAAGTGGTGGGAAATGGTTGCATAAGCAGTCCCCGCTTCCCTAACAGTTACCCAAGAAACTTGCTCCTGACATGGATTCTGGACTCTGCAGAAAACACGAGGATACAGCTCGCATTTGATAGCCAGTTTGGATTAGAAGAGCAGGAAAATGATGTTTGCAGGTGAGTGAACATCCGATCTGAATGTCAGGTATACCCACAGTTGACACTTTCAGCTTAGCATGCTTGCTAGCTGGTTGAAATCACACCCTGGCTTCTGGGCAACCTGAGAAGACCCAAGGAGACCACAAAACCTAAATGACACTGGTGAGAATAGGACCTAGGACCACTGCCGGGCTAACCGACCAGTTCATGAGATGGTAAAGGGGTCCTTTGGGCTACTTTTCAGTTTACTTTCTCCTAGGACAGCAAGCAAGTCCTCCTTCCACCAGGGCTTTTAGAATATGCTGGTTCCTCCGGACATCTGTGCTGAATCCAGGTCGGTGACTGAATGGGACAGTTTTATTATAGTAATGATGTAGGGCTGAGCATCATTCCACCATAACCCTGCCTACAGCAGTAGTTTAGGATAACCTTATCAAGCACTTCCTTATCTAGCATGGGTTGGGTGGCACCTTTGGTCTCATATAGCCTTGGGTACCTGAGAATACTACTATTTTAATTGCTGCAATACTGAAAGTGTATATAAAGCTACTCTGGATAATGTAAGGGAAGGTTAGAACTTCCCTTGGTGTCTTCGTGAGGGGAATTAACTTCTCTTATTGTCCTGGTGATCAATATCACTGGGAATGAAAGTGATGGCACCGGAACAAAAAGCAGAGGCAAAATCTTTCAATCGGGACACTTATTTCAGTGACAGCTGCCTATATGAAGAGGTTTTGCCCTTACTTCCTGTTGAAAATACAGGACAGGAAGTGAGAAAAATACCCCAAAATGAACACAGATGGCAAACAATTATGGGTTTAAAACAGCCCAGAATCTATCCACAACTCCAGGAAAAAAGCTACACAAGCAAAATACACATAAAGGAGCTTTTTATTTTACCTGCCAAAGGATTTGTATTTCTGTCCATCCGCTTCTGAGATTAACACCACTCTGCTACACAGCACAGCCAGCTAAGACCTGACTTTTCTCTGCTGCATGTTAAGTAAAGAAGAACTCTGGGCAACATTTTATTAACCCTTGCAGTGGGGCTACCAAGACACTGCAGGGGTTAAGTGCTCATTTTGGGAGGAAAAGAACAAAATGATACTCACTTGATCCTCAGAGCTGGCTGGCTGTGACAGCACTCCCTCGAGCCTGTTTGCTCCTACACTCCAGTGCTGGTATGTCCCTCGGCATCCTCATGTCCTTTACATAGTGTATAGAACATGATGATTTACGGGACCTGCAGTGGAGGGTGAGAGAGGCTTGAGGGACCAGTCTAAGAGGATCGGGTGAGTATAACTTTTTATTTTCCTCCATAGACCAAAATGAACAGTTAACAGTGCTACCCCCGCACTGCAAGGGTTAATAAAAGTTTTGTCCGGAGTTCTTCTTTACCACTTATGGGTCTTGTCGCTCCCCCAGCCTGTGACTGGACAGTGAAAGAAGAAAGAGCACAATGATGAGCGCATCTCTCTGTCACTCCGCTCTCTCCTCCTATTAATATTTCCATTGTTAGCACATGAGCACTGAAGCATAACCAACAATCTGCTTCTCCCTCTCCCAGTCTGAGCTTTACTGGGATTGCAAGAGGCTGGTACCAAGTCAGATGCAGGTGCACTGCTTGCGTTTAAAAAAAGAATTGTAACGGTGAAAAAATAAATACAGAGCTGCATTGATGTGTATCTTCTATATACTGTATGTTGCTGGAGTTCAGCTTTAAACTAAGTGAAGTGCTTCTGAATTTAAAAGCAGAACAAGGTAATCACAGCGAAACCTAAATCCAGAATTGGCAACTTTGTTTGAAATTGTATAAAAAGCCTTGTGGCCTGTTAGATAGCTCCGGCGATGCCGATTGGTTCTATCTCTAAACAGCTGAGCCGTTAGAAATGAAGGAATTTGATATGTTTAGACCAGTCCAGTTTTATAAATAGAAAACTCAGAGATAGATGCAGAATTCAAGACACTATAGATACCAGGTAGTCAGTCTGCTTCTTGTTAAGGCAGATTTTTAGAATTCTGGAACCCGCTTAAGGCCTCACTCACACTGCTAAAAGGCTGGCCCGTACAGATGCGTGCGGCGTGCACAGCCGTATTGGGCCGTTCCCGGGAAGGACAGGTGCTGTGTGTGCTTGCACGCAGCAGCCTGTTCTTCTCTATGGGAGTACGCGGCCGCACACTCACCTGAACTGCACATCCGTGCGGGTGTCTCTGCTCGGACACAGACAGGATCCACCCTGTCTGCGTCCGAGTACAGACACCCGCGCAGATGTGCTATGGCAGTGCGGATGAAAACTGATGACCATCAGTCTACATCAGGAAACATCAGTGTCAGTTGAGGTCCGCAGTTTGAGATGGATCAGCTCTCCGTATTGACTGACTGGGACTGATGTAACCTGATGATCAGTTTACATCAGTTCAGGTCATGTCCGTTTTTTGGATTGATGTCATATTACAGCATGACAAGCTCAATGCATGCTGGGGGAAAGCAAAGCATCATGGGAATTTACCATAATACCAAAAAGTCCAAAACGGATGTAAACTGAACTGATAATGGGTTTGCGTGTGACTCAGTTTTCATCAGTTTTTTTGTATCCGTGAACTTTGACTGAACTGATGACACACGTGTGAAAGGGGCCTTAATGTATAAAGAAAGATTATTTATTTGCAATGTTTTAAAACATAACATAGGGAAAACTGTTTTTTTTTTTGTTGAAAATGTTCTTTATATAGTAAAAAATCTAAAGATTAGATACCACCAAAACAAAGCTCTATCTGTCCCCCCCAAAAAAAGATATAAAATTTATTTTGGTACAGCGTTGCATGACGGAATAAATGTCAGTCAAAGTACCTCAGCGCTGAATACAAAAAAATGGCCAGGACAGGAAGGGGGTTTAACACCCCGCTCTTCAAGTGGTTAAAGCCGAACCCCCAGGCAGATAGCTGGAGTTCAGCTTTAGGCCTCATTCAAAAAACGTTAAGTCGGGCCGTACATGTCTGTGCGGCGTACATGCCCGTATCGGGCCGTTCCTGGGAGGGACAAGTGCAGCAGCCTGTTCTTTCCTGTGGGAGGACGCGGCTGTACGCACACCCGAACTGCACATCCGTGTGAGTCTGGGTTTCCGTACTCGGACGCAGACAGGATGGATCCTGTCTGCGTCCGAGCACGGAAACCCAGACGCAAACGGATGTGCAGTGACAGCGTGCGGCCGCGTCCTCCCATAGGGAAGAACAGGGTGCTGCACGCAGCACCTGTCCCTCCCTGGAACAGCCGGCTATGGGCGTGCAAGCTGCACGGACTTGTACGGCCCGACTTAACACTGTGTGAATGAGGCCTTAAGCTAAGGGAAGTGCTTTGGTTTTAAACAAAAGAAAAAGAAAATAATGTTAAAACCAACATTTTCAGCTCTGCTTGAAATTGTATAAAAAGTCTTGTGGTCTGTTACAGATGGCTCCTCTGTTTCAAAAACGATACATCTTTTGAATCCAACCTCCTGAGGATTTCCAAGCCTGAGCAGTTCTTGTTCCTGTAACAATCATTATAAATAACAAGCTTCTTTTGGGGCCTTTACCATTCTATGTAGTATAGCCAAACAAATCTTTTTATTTCCATATATAATTGTGTTTTAAGGCCAAGTTTATTTTCAGTGATTTGTAGAATTACCTCTATAAAGATTAGGACATTCCTGCCATAGATGGTAAAAAAAAAACCCTGTGCTTGAGCGGGAATCACCCCAAAACAGAATTTGTTTTGGGGTTAGGTTAAGATTTAAGGTAAAGTGTAAATGCAGAAGTAAAATGTTAGCTAAGAATTCTTGAGAATGTGTTAGGTTAATCATTGAGTTTGTGTTAAAGTTGAAGGCAAAGCTGTTCACAATTTTTATTTATTTTTGCAGTTGAAAGCCCAGTGCCAAGAACAACTGTGCCCGGCTCCCAGCATTGTATATCGACATACAGTAATACCTTGGTTTACGAGCATAATTCGTTCTGGAAGCATGCTTGTAATCCAAAGCGCTTGTATATCAAAGCGAATTTCCCCATAGGAGATAATGGCAATTCTGATGATTCGTTCCACAAGCCAACAATATTCATCTAAAAATGATTACAATACTGTACTGTAATATAATACTGTACAAAATATAAAGAAAAATAAACCAATTACCGGTACCTTCATGGCTGGTGTGAGGGGGACAAGAGAGAGGAGGATTATTGTGTAGGACGACTTTCACTATCACTAACGGAATCACTGCTATCTCTTGGCTCAATGGAATCTTTTTCATTTTGTGAAACCTTAACAAGGAATCTATCCAATGTGACATTGCATTGTCGTTAAACAGACTCATCGCTCGCACTGCTACAGCCTTATTCGGGGGGTGCTTTTCTACAAAATTTTGCTCTTATTGCAAGACATTGCTTGTATATCAAGGCAACATTTTTCAGAAATGTTTGCTTGTCTTGCAAAACACTCTCAAACCAAGTTACTTGTAAACCAAGGTATTACTGTACTAGCTTTTCTGCCCTGAGAAGCATTTTTCTATAGTTACATAATTAATAGAGACTTGCCTGCGACAAACTTATGAGTAATAGCTGGAAATCTCCATGCCTTTCCACCAAAGATGTCCTGGAGGTAAATATCGCATATGGAATTGAACTATGCCTTACCACCAAAAATGTCCAAGGGGTTTATATCCGAATGGGGATAAAACCATGCCCTATCACTAGAAATGTCCTGCGGGTAAATATCCCATAGAGGATTAAACATGCCTTACCGCCAAAAATGTCCTGGGGGTAAATATCCCATGGGTATTAAACCATGCCTTACCACCAAACATTTCCTCTGGGTAAATGTCCCATAGAGGGTGTGGCAGCAGGCAGATGGGGATGTTAGGGTATAGCCAAGATGGCAGATTTGTATGGCCCAGTTTCAGGTGTAGTGCTGGGGTTCATATTCTAGGGGGAAGTGTTGAGAGTACTGGAGGGTTCGAGGTACCAAGCCCAGCTGAAGCAAGCTGGCTTATTAGGGCCTCCATAAGATATGCCAGGCTGCTAAGTGAGTGGTTCCACCTGGAAGACAGAAGAGGTCTCTGTGCAGGAGTCAGGAGGGCTCCACCCTGGAACCAGTCTGTGTGTGTGGTGGACTGGTGAGCGGATCACCTGTGTGGCGAAAAGCAGCCTGTGTGGCAAGGTGACAAGAACCAGCCTGTATGGCCAGTGGAGGAGAACCAGACTGTGGCCAGACATTTTGTTAAAGAGACAACCTGAAGTCAGCAAGACTTTACAGAATGTTACTTTGCTAAAGGAAAAAGCTCTACTTTATGTTTGAAAACCCCTGTGAGGGAAAACCTGTGTGGACTATTGAGTCAATAAAAGTGGGCAAAGAAGCTCTTAAAAAGAAGTTGTAAGCGAGTGGAAGTGTCTTTAATGTGCTACCATTTGAAGGTAATTCTCACAAGGGTTAAACATGCCTTACCACCAAAAATGTCCCTTGGGTAAATATTATTATTATTACCCTATAGTGGATTGAACTGCGCATTACCACCAAAAATGTCTTGGGAGCAAATATCACATGGGGACTGAACCATGCCTTACCACCAAAAATAAAGTTGCTTTTTATTGTTAAAGTTTGGTATTTGGAACTACGTTTAGCAAAACCATATGCAGCTACGCACTTCAAGCATTAAAGGATATTACTCAGCCCAATTATAATGATAGAACTTTAACCTCGTACTACACTTCTCCAGCTCATAAATCACTTTAATTGGTCATTTCTTTTATAGCAATGCAGATTATACTGTAGCATGTATAATGTTGCTGTGTTGCTTCAGAACAATTTTATTACAGCCCTTTGTATCTAGTAGCTGGAAGCTGATTAAAATGATTTAAGAAAGTGTGTATGTAATGTGGTCTGAGAAAATAAATGCAAGCACAAAGTAAGTTCCTTTAGGTGTGTCTAAAGCCCGAACATTTTATTTATTCCGTTTTCAGTAGAGTAGGGAAGGATTAGCAACTGTGCCAGGTATTTATTGTTGCGTGTGTCTTTGTTTGAGAGATCCGCCCTCTCTATTTCTCCTTGTGACTATTAGTACTGGGACTGAAAGGGAAAATGTAAAAATTTTAAAGTTGACGTAACTAGAATAGGAGGGAAATCATCCAAGGGGGACATTTATTGTTGACAACAAATTTATCTCACTTTGGAGAGACTCTCACTTCCTGTTGTGTCTACAAGATAGGAAGTTATGGAAAGTCCCCCTAATGCAGGGGTGGGCAACTCCGGCCCTCCAGCTGTGCTTCAAATGTTTCTGTCTCTGGGAGTCATGCCTGCAACTCTCAGTCTTGCAATGCCTCATGGGACTTGTAGTTTCACACCAGTTGGGGGGCCGGAGTTGCCCACCCTCGCCCTAATAGCATGCTCTATTTTTGGGCGTTTGCAGTGGAGCGGAACGCAGGCAATGTTTTGCTAACGCGTCTGATTGCACTGCTGGTGCTGGAACGCACCGCAATCGCTCACAAAACGTCCCCCTGCGTTCTGGGGAGGAAGGAGGCGTGGCGGTGCACTAAAGTCAATGGCACCGCAGCCACGCCTCCTTCCTCCCCAGAACGCAGGGGGACGTTTTGTGAGCGATTGCGGTGCGTTCCAGCAGCTACCGCTCTGGAACGCACCACAATTGGTGTGAACAAACCCTAAGTATTAGTAGAGCTAGCACTAAAGCTATTCAAACCAAAAGACAAGCAGAAAGAACTGAAAAAAGGAATTGATCACACCCACAAAATAAAGTATTGCACAAGTATTGATCAAATAGAATGTTACAATCTGCCCCTCGTACATGCAGAGAATGCTTTGTATTCACTGATAAAAATGATTGATTTTTTCTGTATGGCCACTGTGCTGAGCGAGAGCGCCATACAGGACCCGGAGGATCACAGCCAGCACAGTAGTACTCCGGCTACTATAGTGTTTTATAGGATGCAGCCAATCAGGTGTGGCATATAAATACTTACATTGGGCCAAGCTGCACTAATGTAACTATGCAAAATAATTAAAACCTGGAGTTCAGGTTCATCTCCGTCCCCGCAGCCTCTGCCTTGCTTCCACTTTGATCCTCAGCTGTGACTGTGGGTAGGTTCTATTTAGGGCAGAGGCTCTACATGACTGCTCAGCCAAAGGGAACTTTTTTTTATTGTTAATAGATCTGATACTCCATCCCTATAAAATCAGTATAATCCTGCTCATCTATCTGTAGAAAATGACTGCTGATGCTTTGCTCCATTGGTCACCTTTTCTCCCCCTGCTTTTTGATTGGACAATGGAGAATCTGCAAAGCATTGATTAGGTCATCCCTGTACGCTCTTTATATGTAAGCCTGTTCCTATGTTTATAGTGTTATCATGACAAGCACTGTGAAGAGCAATAGAACTCTGAATGGCTTAGATAGCTGCCACTCAGTCTTATGTCTAAGTGTGTCTGCACAAGATATTACAGCACGCTAAAACAAAGACAGAATTCAAGCTCTCATACAAGTTGCATTTTAAAATACTTTTATTGTTTTCTACACAATTGGACCAAAGGAGTTTATTGTCCATCTGGTGTTTTGAATTAAGAGTTGATAACCTTTCTTTG